TGAACAGAAGAATATAAAAATCACTGAAATCTCTTTAAGCAGAAGCAAGCACTATTCATATTTTGATATTTTCTTGTTTTATTTAAAAAGTCTGAGCAGTGGAACTCACATTTTTAAAATGGGATTATCCTACAAGGATTATTTCATGAGTTTTTTTCTTTTTAATTTGCTCTTATGAACACTTTTCCATGTTCGTAAATAGCCTCTGGCAGCAATGTTTTTAACTGCTAGATGCTATACGCTTTTAATTTTTAAAAGTACTTTCACATACACTACCTCATTTAAGGTTTGGATGTTTTTATTTTTACAAAAAGTACATAAAACAGAATGTAGATGGTTTGTTCCACTAGCTGGCTTGTTGCCTCAAGCCACATGGTGTAAAGTCGTCCCATCTGCGTGATGTTTTCTGATAAATCCTATTAGGAGGCGAAACAGATCTAACACTTGAGTGTCTTTTAGCTCATTTCTCTATGTGATGGGGACAGGCTGGGTCAGGAGAAACAGAAATAAGGGAGGGAGGAGAGAGCAGAACTTGTATCAAAAAGACCCCTCTAGCTGATCTCTCTTCCTCTAAACCCTGTTATTCTCACCACACGTAAATCTCACGTCTCCTACTTTGTTGATCATTAGTTAGAACCAGTTCTTAGATGGCAACATTGGAAGGTTTCAGGATTCTGGTTTTTGAAGTTGTATCTTAGAAGAGTAAAAAAGTTGCTAGCTCTATTATAATCCCAGTTCTTGCTGTGTGGTTAGGAGTAGATGACTTAAAAAAATGCAAAATAATATTCGTTCATTCAGTTTAGCATATGGTGGACTTGTTAGATAATGTCCAGTAAGTAAGATATTTGTAGCTCACTGGAAAAAAATCTGCAGCAGTTTAAAAGAACATTTCATGTAGTTTTCAGTATCTTGAGATCATGTTTAAAATTTTTTAAAATTAATATATTTTTGTAATTAATATTTTATTGTCGGTAGATTTCTTACTGGCATATTGACTTTAGGACGGGGTGAGGGTGTTGGTTCAAAGGGCTCTTGACAAAGGTACAGGGAAACCCCAGAGTAGAAGGACACCCGTGAGCTAGTGATAGCCGCTCTCCTAACCCCTCTGGGTGGGAAGGGGTGAGGCAGAGAGAGGTTGCCAGAACCCGGATGGAGAGATCTGTGGGGAAAGGCCTGTCTCGAGAGGAGCCACGATCAAGGACACAACCACCCGGATGCGACCGCACAGGGAGGGAGTCTGGATATAAAAAGTCCTGACCTCCCTTCCCTCCTCCTGCTCCCTTTTTATCAGTTTATTTTTCTGACTTTGTTGATAAATGACAGAAGTCAAATACAGAGAACTGAGGCGTGCTTTTTTGCCCTTAACTCTTTACCCTTTATCTGTAATTTCTATTCACACAAGTACTGATAATTCTAAAACAATATGTGGAACAACTGAACACGGACCCATTTCCTTGGATCCAGATTGTGTTTATTTTTAAGTCAGATAAAATAGCTTCAGTGTCCTGTCAAAAGACTGCTTCACGCTAGAGATTGCTCTGTTCAGTGTTTCAAGTGAGGGTTGCCTCCTTACTTGTGCTGAGAACGTGCTGTCTCGGACAGTCTCCCGGCCTGCTCCCTGTGGCCCTGGCCAGTGATGTTTTTGGCAAACTCACCATTTGTGGTCTGGTGCCGAGTGGCTTAGGCACCTGTGCCTGGTTCACCCCAGCTTTTTGCTCTGTTCCTAGAGAGAACTGTTCCTGCCAGGATATGGGTGAGTGAAGCACCTTATCGATTACATGAGCAGGTTTAAACATCTGATTTTATTTGTGCAGATGAATTATTCTTGTATCACAGCAGTGAAAGCAATTTATGTCAGTTACCTAGTATTTTATTTCTGTTTTTTAAAAACTCATAGAAATTGTGTTAAGTTGTTCTCAGTAACAAGGCAGTTGAAATTTCTGTACTTCTATTGAATTGAACCTAGAATGTGGCATTTGTCTCAGCATATTTTGTGAGAATTTGTTCCATGTTGTTAATGATTTCTGAAAATGTGAATATCTCTGAATAATATTCTTCAGTTTTTTGTATCTTGAGTAAGATCTAGTTCTTCTCTTAAAGATAATTGAATATTTTTGAATATTGTATATATTAGATCTTCAAGACTACTTGAAATGGGAGAAGATAATTTTTTACTTTTGTCTGAACACGTCTTTGATTTTTAAAAAACCTTTCAGGCTTGCAATTATTTCAGATTGCCATCTTTTCCCAGTTAAAATGCTGAGTGAAGAAAACAGTATTAATAAGTTCAAGAATAGTCTGCAGTCCTGTGAAATATGCCAGCCGAAGGAATGCTGTAATGAGAGCTGGCTGTCAGCACTTCGAGTTACTGAAAACCGACTTGAAAGAATTCAAAGATTTCCACACTGTCAGCTTAGAGGAGAAATTTTCTGTGAGGGGCTGGTGTTTTGCAGAATGTAGGCATAATTTAACAGCCATCAGCTGGCAAAGTCCACTTGAGACCAATTTGCCTAAAGTAAAATGGCACCTTAGGGCAGACCGGCAGGCTGTCCCCAGGGGCCTGATAGCCTCTAGGAAAGCCGCTTAATCTCCCGTTTCTTCAGGGTATCTGAATCTAGTTGTTTCCTTTCCTCCCCTTGAGCTCTCACAGCTGAGCTGGAGAAAATATGAACTGTGTCCTGTAGTCTTTTTGCCTTGCCTCCCATCTGACCCCTCAGCATGAATATCTAGATTCCAGACGTGTCCTGTGTCCTGCTGTTTGTTAACGTGTGTCGTGTCATTGGCGCTTACATGCAAGCCTGTTAAACTGGCATTCCTGGTGATGGTCTGAGGGGGACGATTGGCTTCCTGATCTATATGACTGTCACAGCGCTAACCTCCGTCAAATGGCTTCTGCTTGGCAGGACTCCGAAGGCGTGGACATCAAGCTGGGCGTGTGTGCCAACGGGCTCCTCATTTACAAAGACAGACTGAGAATCAATCGTTTCGCTTGGCCGAAAATCTTGAAAATCTCCTATAAGCGCAGTAACTTCTACATTAAAGTTAGGCCAGCAGAGGTAAGCAAAGCCATCCAGCCCCTGGCGTGTCTCTTCAGGCTTTGTCAGTGTTCTCCTTTATGGCCAGACTTGTTTCCCATTGAATTTTAAGAAGATGAAGGATTCCTTACTCCTCTGAAGTTTAAAAAGAAAAAAAAGTCAGGGTTTTTGATGATAAACCTGCATGTATATTACTGTCAATTAAAAAAAAAAGCAGCAGCCACAGTTTCACCGAAAAGAAAGAGTAGTCAGTGCCTGCCACATAGTGGGGCTCATTTTTCTTTTCCTCTTGAGTCAGCTAAGTGGTCAGGATCAGTAGAGGCAGAGTTGTAGTGGACCTTGAAGCAGAGCTGGTTTATGTCAGTAGTTGATGCTTGCTCTTCATGGAAACTAGTATGCAGTCTGAAAAGTCCATTCTGTATAATCATATTAGATGCACTAATATTTACCTTTTTCGAGAAGAACAGTTACTTCTTAGTGAAATCTCTGCATCCATGTTTTTCAGCAGCTTTTAATCAGCTCTCAAGGAAATGTGCTGATTTATTTTATGGCTTTATTCTAGCTGGAACAGTTTGAGAGCACCATTGGATTTAAACTGCCAAACCATCGGGCGGCGAAAAGGCTATGGAAAGTGTGCGTGGAACATCACACGTTCTACAGGTAATTTTGAGGAAACAGTTGAGGGTGAATGAAAACAGCTCTCAGAACCCTCGAGATCCTGGGAGGTGGCAGCTGCAGGCACACCCTGCTTTACTGTCCTTTGCTCTCCTCAGCGTCGGATGCCCTGTGTCTGTTTCCACTGCCTGGCCACGCTTGGCCACGCTCTTGTCACTCAGAATGGCCTGTGTCTGCGGTAGTCCACCGCTCCAGCTGCCCCTCCTTCCACCGCCACACCCTCCCGCCCCTGCTGCATTCTTTCCACTGTCTACTCTCCTTCGGTTTCATGTAATTGCTCTCATCGGCTCCCTCCTGCTTTCGCTTCCTTCCCAAACCAGCCCTGAATCCTGTGGTCTGCCCCTTTGCTACTTTGTCAGGAGGCCCCCATCCTTTCTGCACACCAGCCTGCTGGGCCTGGACTCGCCCTGTGTCCTGACCTCTCCGTTTCTGTACCCGTGCTACCTTAAATAGCACAACTCTTCTGATGGATACTCTTTGTAAGAGAAAACGTACTGCTCAGTGGGTTGGTGCTGTTGCAGAGATCGTTTCCCGCATCAGCTGGACCCTCAGTGCCGCCAATACAAATGCATCGGGTCTTCCTGAGCCCTCGGGCGCCCCTGCGCCTCCGCTCAGATGCCCTCCATTGTGTGCTACCCTGACAATAGAAGCTGTGGGTCCTGAATGTTCTTGGTTTCATCCATCTTCTCTTTTTCTCCTTTTGCATATAATAAAGCATTATTTTCCTCTCTGGCCAGTCTTTTTTTTTTTTTCAGGGGTAGATAATTAGATTTGTTTATTTATTTGTTTATTTTAATGGAGATACTGGGGATTGAACTCATGTCCTTGTGCATACCAAGCACGCACTCTGCCGCTGAGCTCTGCGCTCCCCTCTCATTCATTCTTTTCTTCCTGTCCTGTGTCAAGGAAGAGAGAGAGTCATTCCTCTGCCACGATCTCTTATTTCATGCCTCGTGTAGGACCATGCTTTGTAAATTGTATACCTCCGGTGGGTGCCTTTGATGTCTTCTTTGGCCAATAAATCTGTCCATGTCTTGCTCCCTTAAAAACTAAAAAAAACCCAGGAGATCTCGTTAGACCTTTTAGCCTTCTGTAGTTTTTGTGCTGTCTCCTCTCATACTTTTACTCACCGGCAATTTTTTAACATTCCTATTCTGAGCAGATTGTCCTTTGCTGCTCTTCCTTTTCTGTGTCCTTAGTTTATCACTGCAGCCTGGATAGCTGTGTCCCTAGACCCCTCATCTTCAAGCTTTTCCTTTGCCCTCTCATAATCTAATCCTGTCCCTCCACATACTAGATGTGTGACTGTAGATAAGTGACTCAGCCTTTGTGCATCTCCGTTTGATCAACCATGTGATGATAATAGTAACAGTGCCTACTTGATAGCAGTGTTTTGAAAAGTAAATGTTACATGAAACAAACTTAGAGCCATTTCTGATACATAATGCTTCTCATCATTATTCTTAGTTTGGTAGCATATTGTGCTATTTATTTTTAAGACTGCTCTAATAGACTCATTTTATAGATAATTCTTCGGTTTTTGTTTTTTTTTTAATGGCAGTACTGGGGATTGAACCCAGGACTTCATGTAGGCTAAGCATGTGCTCTACCACCGAGCCTCCCCCTCCCCCATCTAATAGTCTCATTTTAGAGGAGAAAGGAAACTCATAAGATATACTTGAATCCATCTGACTTGATTACACTGATCATTTCATCTTTGAAAAGTTTACAATTTCTCTTGGGAGCCATGACAGATTCTCCTAAGACAGGAGCCTGCTTCAAATAAAACAAGTCAATAACATCTATAAGTTAAATGACACAAGTCCAGGCAGGACAGGCAGCAGGCTTCCCTGTCAGATAATGATAAGAAAGGCAATGATCAGTACAGAAATGGTAAGTGCCAACATTCATTGAGCATGCATTGCTGTCAGACACAGGACCAATCACTTTACATTCCTCCACCTCATTTATTCCTCACCCCCGCGTGGAAGCTGTGGCTCAGGGCTGGGTGCTTGGAGAGAAACACAGTGGCCGGCCAGGCACCCAAGCAGAGGTGAGGACCCGGCCCTCTGGCTGTAAAGCCCACACTCTTCACCCCTGCGTCGCCCTCCCTCCTGTATTCTTCTAGCAGGTGTCTCTGAGATGTCTGTCAGCCCTGCAGAGCCTCAGGTGCCTCCATCATCTTTACAACAACAAGCTGCGGACTCCAGTTTAAAAGCAGACCAATTTGCTCCTGCAAACTTTGGAGACAGTGGTTAACAAAAGCAGTTTATGTCTTTAAATCTCAGTATGTTTGTTTACAGGTGATATGAAATGTATCTAACACAGAAAGAGCAAATCATAGTTTGCAGAGTGCTTTGAATCATATCAGTGGAGTTAGTTCTGCTTTACTTTATCACACAAGATGCGAATGACTTCTTTAGAAAATTAAAATGGCTTTCTGACTGAAGCCATTAAGAAATAAACAGACCTTTGTATTGACTGGTAGCCACGTGGCTGGAAGAGTATTAGTGGAACAGGAACAGAATAATAAAGCTACTGTCCTTTCTTGAGCATTTAATAGAGCCCGTCACCATTCTCTGTGTTCTACATGGATTAATTCTGTTAATCTTTACAACAAATCTTATGGGGCAGGTGCTGTTATTATCTTCACTTTGCATGAGGAACAGAGAAGTTAAGAAACATGCCCATAGTTGTATGGATAGTAATGGGTGGGTGGGGTTGGAATTCAAACCCAGGTAGCCTGGCTCCGTGTGCCCCCAAGTATACCCCCTGTGCTGTACTTCCAGACTGTATTTGCAGTGGATTTGCTTTCTTTACTTTCTCAGTGCTTTTTGTTGTTGTTGATGGTGTGTAAACAAGATTAATGTGAGGCTCTTCAGGCTTGACGTTAAACTGCCATTTAAACCTGGCATTGTAAATCCAGACTAATTCCAAGTGAATTAGTGTCCTCAGCTGCTTCATAGAGAGTTTTATGGAAACCTGTGGCACTTGTTAAATGCATGAATGACTTTAGTAATTGATATGTGGGTTTTCTTAAAATGTTATTTTGTTTTCCATAGATAAACATGAATAATACTTGATTTATGAAGGTAGGATTTTTATAAAATTAAGATGTTAATATACATACTTCGTAAGCAGTAAAATATGTAAAAACTGAATTCCATCATTATTTTGATCATCTTGCTCAAGGCCTTTAATCCTCTATGATGACTGACCCCAAAGTGAACTGATAGATGTCTTGTGGTAATTTTGACGTTATTCTTCTGAAGATAGGGTTTGATGTGGAACCTAAAAATAATATCAAAAGGAAATGTTGAGTGATCTTGAAATGATAGTGCTGAAATATTTTATAGCTTGGTCTACATTTTCTTAGAAAATTAATTCACATTACCATGGACTAAAAATTATTTTAGAGAAAGCTACTTAATGTTTGTGTTCAACCTTTTTTTTGTTTTGGATGTTTATTTCTATTTAATTGCAGCTTAATTGCTTAAGGATTTCTTTGTGATCAGAAAATTCGTCTGTAAGCTAAATACCCTGTGTACGTGCTCACCAGTGCCAGTCGGGCAAGAAAGTACTTTATCTCAGTGTGACATAAATAAAAGTTCTCTAGTTAATGACTTTCCTTCTTTTGCATTATGCCTTA